ACCAAACTCTTTTCCAAGGCTGATGCCACCACGACAAGACTACCTTCCCACTAGCCCCACCTCCCAAAGATTCCACCACCTCGACACCCTTGATTTCAGCATACGGACCCTTGGGACTAAGGATTCCGAGATGCCAAGCACGCAAACCCCTGGGAGACACACTCAATGCACAACATTTATTCATAATAGAATTTTTAGGGGCATCTACATAGCTGTTAAAACGCTGGATTGACACCTACATCCCTCATCATTCTGCCTGGGATTGATGCCTGCCTCCAGTTCCCGAATCCAGTTTCCTGGCACAAGTAATTAGGTCCCTGCCAGCCACATGGGAGACCTGGATTGTGTTCCTGGCTCCTGGCTTTGGCCTTGGCTTTGTCCCAGGCATTGTGGGCATTTGGGGAGTGAACCAATACATGGAAGATATCTCCTTCCCTCTCTCTCTGTAACTCTTTCAAATAAATAAATCTTAAATAAATAAAAATAAATGATAGGACTAGGTTTCTCTATAAAATTTACATTAAAATGTTAATTAACTATAGTACTTACAGGATAAAATGTGTTTGATTCTAGAGTATAATTCTAATGAAACATTATTTGAATGGCAATATGTTTACTGCAAGAAATCCTTGCTGGAATCCCAGGAGTTCTATTTTTGTTACTGCAAAAACTGATGTTAGTTCAATCATTTTCTTAAGAAGACATGTATGACAAGAGATTAAAATTTCTTCTTAAATATCACTTTTCAAGATTATGTCTCAGGAAAATATTATGTTTTCTGCAAAGAAATTACATACTGGAGCTGTGTTTGTGCTTCTGGCAGAAAGACGTTAGATACTTATAAATTTTTCAGATATGTTATGGTAGACATTTCTGGGTCAAACATATCCATATAAGAATGTTTAAAATATGTTTGCATTTACTACGTGTTCTCAGTAGCTACAATATTTGCATTTTCTACTTGAAGCTCATAAAATCAATTACCATATGATCAAGGATGAAGTTTATTAAGCTGCTGTGTTCTGTGGGGCTGGCTAAGCCTCTGCCTATGGTGCCGGCATCCCATACTGGCGGCAGTTTGTGTCCCAGCTGATCCTCTTCCCATCCAGCTCTCTGCTAATGACCCAGGAAAGCAGTGGAAGATGGCTCAAGTGCTTGGGCCCTTGCACCTGCATGGGAGAGCAGAAGGAAGCTCCTGGCTCTTGGCATCTCATGGGTTCAGCTCTGGCCATTGTGGCCATTTGGGGAGTGAACCAGTGGATGGAAGATCTTTCTCTCTGTCTCTCCCTCTCTCAGTAACTCTATTACCCAAGTAAATAAATAAATACAATCTTGGAAAAAAAAGATGCTGTGTTCTTCCAGTGGATACAAGGGCATTGCCTTCCCTGCTGTGGGGTGTTTGCACACAGAGCTGCTCTCCCAGAGCTCCTGCAAGAAATGGAGGTGCACAGTGCAGGGTACTCAGTCACTGTAGGGAACTGGAGGTTTTCATTTTGAGTCCTCCTCTAATTTTTAGGAATATCAAGCTTATAGCTTTGACCTATACAACAAATCCAGTCTTACTCTAGTACATATTCACATCCACTACGTTTTTTCCAAGGCATCTTTTTCATTGTAATCTTATCAGCTCTTTGAGGATAAATATAAAAATCTATCCAAGGGGCATTGTTAAATACTTAAAAGGGCACTAACAAGAACTAGTAGAAATAAAATGTAATGAATAAGGAAATACAAAATTAAAAGTGGAGATGTGAATGAATAGGAAACCTAAGGAGAAGAAAATGTGTCCAACAAAAAGTAACAGAGATGAGAACTTGTAACAGATCCACTGGAAAGGCAGTATCTGCAGAAAATAAAAAATAAGAGGAAACAATAGGAAAAAATACTCGTTAGGTAATTATGCAGAATTTGTTCTGGACTGCCTTAATGTCTTCTAACCACACACACCCAGCCAGTGTGAAGGGTTTTCACATAAGGCTTTTGAAACCAAGAATGTGTAGGCTACAGTTAACTTACTCTAGTTCTCACACTGAGGTCCTAACTCCCCGTACCTCAGAATGTGACTGTATATGGAGAGAGGGTCTTTAAAGAGGTAAATTAAATTAAAATGAGGTCATTAGGATACTCCCTCATCCAATAACTGTGTCCTGCTAAGAGGAGATCGGGACAGGCCCAGGAGAGGCCACCAAGGAACCAACCCTGCTAGCACCTTGCCCTTACACTTCTCGCCTCCAGAACTGTGAAAAAACAGACCTCCGTCTCAACCAAATTGAGTGCACAGTACTGTGCTACAAGCACCCTAAGGGCAAATGTAACTGGTTTTACATAACTTTCATAACACAATCAATAAAGGCACTTCTATTTTGCCAAAACAAGATGCCAAGCAAAAATGCCGTACGTCAACCTTTCAAAATCTGATTGGTTCCATATTTGTAGCTTACTGTTGTTACACAGGCTGAGTGAATATCCCTTATCCCAAAATTTGGGGACTAGAAGTGTTTCAGATCGAGGAATACATGCAAATAGGAAGGTATTTCTGGTATGAGACCTAGGTCTAAACACAAAATTCACTTATGTTTCATATATGTTTATACTGGAGATTTTTTTAAAGATTTTATTTATTTATTTGAGAAGTAGAGACAGTGAGAGGGAGAGACAGAGAGAAAGGTCTTCTGTCCATTGGTTCACTCTCCAAATGGCCCCAAAGGCAGGAGCTGCACTGATCTGAAGCCAGGAGCCAGAAGCTTCTTCTGGGTCTCCCACGTGGGTGCAGGGGCTCCAGGACCTGGGCCATCTTCTACTGCTTTCCCAGGCCACAGCAGAGAGCTGGATTGGAAGAGGAACAGCCAGGACTAGAACCGGTGCCCATATGGGATGCCGGTGCCGCAGGCAGAGGATTAACCTACTGTGCTGTGGCGCCGGCCCCAAGGACTTTTTATATAAAGAGTCTAATGTTTTTGCACATGGAACAAAATTTTATGGTTTTCTACTTACGGTATCACATCCAGACTCAGAAAAGTTTTGGATCTGGGGGCATTCTTTTTTTTTTTTTTTTTTTTTTTTTTGACAGGCAGAGTGGACAGTGAGAGAGAGACAGAGAGAAAGGTCTTCCTTTGCCGTTGGTTCACCCTCCAATGGCCGCCGCGGCCGGCGCGCTGCGGCCGGCGCACCGCGCTGATCCGATGGCAGGAGCCAGGAGCCAGGTGCTTTTCCTGGTCTCCCATGGGGTGCAGGGCCCAAGCACCTGGGCCATCCTCCACTGCACTTCCTGGCCACAGCAGAGAGCTGGCCTGGAAGAGGGGCAACCGGGACAGAATCCGGCGCCCCGACCGGGACTAGAACCTGGTGTGCCGGCGCCGCTAGGCGGAGGATTAGCCTAGTGAGCCGCGGCGCCGGCTGGGGGCATTCTGAACTCTGATTTTGGATTAGGAATGCACACTTTGTACTTGATCTTGAGTTCCTTCTCTTACGGAAGGTTTGCAACTCCTTTCTTTCTTATTTCCCCCAAATTCCTCTCTAATTTCAGATATCAGCTCTTATTGCCTAATGGCTATACAGTGTTGTGTTTGTCTACTAAACTCAGGACTCATGACAACAGCGTCCCTGGGACCCCATGGTCTGCCTGTGCCCCAAGTCAGGGGCTCACAATCTGTGCACTAGCATCCAGGGCCAGCAGACCAGTCACGTGCGCAGGTCAGCAGCTTCTCCAGTCTCGCCTTCCCCAGGAACTTCATCACAACAACGCAAAGGGAGAGGGTTGTATCAGCGCTCCAGAACGCTCCAGCACCTCACTGTGTAGGCGCCACAACTACGGCTGATGCCTCTATTCACTCTGGTCTCTGTTCACGTGCTGCAAACACACCCAAGCGGGTAAGCATCGGGGCCACCTGGTGACCAGGCTCTTCTTCCTGTTCTCCAGAGACGGCAGGGACGCCGTGAGGAAAAGGTGTGACTTTCTGGGAATATTACGGTCTCCACGCAAGCCTAGTACAGGCAGGGGCCTTTCTAAGAACAACATCAGTAAGCTGAGGCAGCACAATGTGCTGCTCTGTTCCCCACAACAGCTGGGCTCTGGGCTCTTCTGTAAGGACTTCCAGAGCTGCAAAGCCCAGTTGGAAGAATTGTTGTGAATTCCACCATTTGTTGACCATCTGCTGCATACACTACGCTCAACAGGTGCAACCCCAATAGCAGAAATACCTCATTCAAGAATTCTGACTCCAGTGAATGCATTTATTCTCAGACTATTTTGTAATTTTTTTTTATTTGTGATAGAGGAGAGGGAGGTGGGGAGGGAGTGAGGAAGGGAGACAGAGAGGGTAGGAGAGAGATGGGGGAGGGGCGGGCAGAGATTTCTCACGCACTGGTTTACTCCTCAAAAGCCCACAACAGCTTACACTGGGCCAAGCCAAAGCTGGGACTAGGAACTCCCTCTGGGTTTCCCACAGGGACTCACGTAGCCCAGCCATGACTGCCAGCTCCCAAAGGGAGCATTAGCAAGAAAGTGCATCAGAAGCAGAACCGGGACTTGAACCAGGCACTCCGGGTTGAATGCAGGTGTCCCACGTGGTGTCTTAACCGCAGGCCAAACAGCAGCCCCTCTGAATGTTGCCTGAGTGCCCACAGTGGACCGCACTGCTGCAGGGACTGAGCTCGATGACCAGGACAGCCAAGGCAAGTTCCAGCCCACACCAGCTCATGACGCACGCGGGCTGCCGGCCGCTACACCCTGGAGAGGCGGTGATGTGCAGCCCCGCGGCGGGGGTGGGGGCTTCCAGCACAATGGGCTTTGCTTTATTTCGTTTTAAAAACACATGTTGCTATGCCTTTTGCAACCACAATGATTCATCAGTCTCCTGGATGACCCTTCCAGTGAAGTGTTTTTTTTTTTTTTTAACACTTTACGGTGCCTTAGACTTGGAAGAGACCTTTGTAGTGGTAACAGCGTTAACTCATTTATTTTACAGATTAAAAAAAAAAAATGAAGTGGCTCAGTTTACCATTGCAGCCCGGCAGGATGGAAGAGGAGGCCCCGGATGTCCTCGTGGGTTTTCCTTAATCGCATTTCCATGTTGCTGGGCAGAAGCGACTTCTGCAGAAAGCAGAGAGGACAGTGAGTTAGGGCTGCGGCGACCGGGGGAGACTTGGTTATTGGGAAATCGCAGCTTAGGGAAAGACGAATAGGACACCTGAGCCCACACCCCCACCGCTCACTAAAGAAAAGCCATTTACCGGGGCCCTAAGTCCCTTGTCTTTAAAATGAAGGGATAGGCCAGCGCGGGAGGACATTTGCATAGCAGCCTGAGGCCAGCAGGGGCCAGGAGACCGATAGAGCGGCCGGCACCTAGCGCTAAAAACGCTATTTTACCGCTCATCATACAGTCACTGCACTCACACGCAATTTTCAGAACCAGCGGGTCTCGCTGTAGAAACCAGGCATAATTTCCAAGGTCCATCAGGGACGGGACGCGTCCTCCAGGGGCCCGGCGCGGCACCTGCAGCGTGCCCCGGGGGCCAGCGCCAGGCCCCGGGCTCCGGCCGCCGGCCCCGCATCCCGGGCGGGCGCCGCTGCGGTGCGCCCGGGGCCAGCCGCGTGCGGGACCCGGGGCAGGGCGCTCACGCCTCGGTCCGCAGCCAGCGCCCGCGCCCGGCAGAGGCCGTTTTTTAAAATAAAGCGTTAAAAATATTTTTTTAAGGGCTGGAGCGCACGATTCGTTTCCTTTGGGAGAAGCCACTGCCGAGCCCCGCGGGGCCGGCCGCGCGCGTTCGGGGCCGCACTGCCGGCCTCGTCACCCTCGCCTTACGTAACCCTGAGGAAGTCACCCGGCCTGCGCTCGCAGCCACGGGTGCCGGCCCCCGCCCCGCGCGCGCACGCCCGCGGCCCGGCCTCCCGCGCCGGCCTCCAGGGCCCGGGCCAGCGCCCTCCGCCGCCGCCCGGCCGCGCGGACAGCGGGCCCGCACGGCCCCGGCCGCCCGCGAGCCGCCCCGCGCCCGCCGCCCGGCCGCGTTTGAAGTCCCGGCGCGGCCGCTGGTTGGCGCGCGCGGGTCACGTGGCCGGAGGAGTTCCCCGACAGCTGGAGGCTGCGTGGGCTCCGGCGGCGGCTCGCGACTCGGCCGCGCGGCCTCCCCGCCCTCCTCCGCGCCCGCTTCCGCCCGCGCCTCAGCCTCCGAGCGACTCAGCGCGGCCGCGGCGGCGTCTCGGCGAGCGCGGGAGCCGAGCCATGGGCGACAAGAAGAGCCCCACCAGGTAACGGCGCGCGGCCGGGCGGCGGGCGGCGGGCGGCCCGGGGCGGCGCGGGGGCGGCGCCGCTGACGAGCGTGGCCGCGTGAGGGCCGGCGCGGCCCCACAATGGAGCCGCGATGGCGGCGGCGGCGGCGGCGCCCGGAGCCCGGCGGGTCGGGGCCGCCTGCCCCGCACGCTGCGGCCCGGGCGGTGCGGGCGCGGCCTGCCGGTGACCCGCGGCGCGTCGTGTCCGGGTTGTGTCCCGCAGGCCGAAGCGGCAGCCGAAGCCGTCCTCGGACGAGGGCTACTGGGACTGCAGCGTCTGCACCTTCCGGAACGGCGCCGAGGCCTTCAAGTGCATGATGTGCGACGTGCGCAAGGGCACCTCCACGCGGTGAGCGCCCGGGCCGGGGCCGGGGCCGGGGTCGGGGCCGCGCTGCCCGCTGCCCGCTGCCCGCTGCCCGCTGCCCGCTGCCCGCGGGGCGCGCGGCGTGGCCGGCAGGCTCGGGCCGCGCACCGGCGGCCGCTTTGTTGTGCGCGGCGTGGGCAGGGCAGCAGGGAGGATGCAGTTCCGTTTCATTGCATAGAAAAGACAAGAAAAAAAAAAAACCCACCAAGTATCCCGGTTGTGGACTGCACAATAGGTTAAACTTCTTTGTTACTGGGTACGGACGCCCGGAGGGGTCAGCCCAAGGTTTTGCTCAGTTGTTTGTGTTCCAGTTGTCTGTCTCAGGCACAGTTGGAGGGGAGCCCAGCCTCAGGGACACGTTTTTCCTGAAAGTGTCTGAATGCCGTGATTAAATGGCAGTGTGCTAGACCAGCGAGATGAGGCGATCCCTGCCCGCCTCAGCCCTAAGTTTATTGTCAGCTCGTAGGACCGTGACTCTGTCTTATGAAAAACCGCTTAGGTGAATGGAGTGGCTGCAGAGCCCGGCCCAGGAAATCTGGTCAGCGCAGGCTTGGTCTGCTGGCACCTGGGCTGCCTTCGCCTGCGCTGGGAGGCAGCCTTGGAGTTGATTCGTGATAAGCCTGCAGTACCTTAACACTTGGGTAACGTGCATGTTTTGATATTACAAAGTCTGTTAGCAACTACACGATCACAATAAGCCTACCAGTGTATGACTGTCGCTTTAAAAACCAAAGAGGGCCTATGTATTACGGACATGTATGAATGTTCTGTGAATCTAGCTTTCTAAACATGAGGGATCCTCGTTTTCAACAGCATTTACAGAAATGTTTATAATGTAGGGGCGGTCCTGTGAGATGTTAGTTCCTCAGCAGAGCTAGCTGCTTTTGACATGCCTGTCCTTACTAAGTCACAATATGCCTTCTGCATAGTAACGCTCATTTATATTGGACAAAATATTCTGAACACTATACAGCCTTTAAGAGAAAACTTCTAAACACCTAAATTTAAGGGACTATAAGAGAGCGTCTGTAAAAGAAAAAAAGTATGCTTTTTCCAAAATGATTGCATTACCTATTTTTGGAACCATGATTTAATAGGTTTTTTTTTTTTTTTTTTTTTTTTTTTGCCAGGCAGAGTTAGTGAGACAGTGAGAGAGAGAGAGACAGAAAGGTCTTCCTTCCGTTGGTTCATTCCCCTAATGGCCGCTACGTCTGGCACACTGCCGATCCAAAGCCAGGAGCGGGGTGCTTCCTCCTGGTCTCCCATGCAGGTGCAGCGACCCAAGCACTTGGGCTATCCTCCACTGCCTTCCTGGGCCACAGCAGAGAGCTGGACTGGAAGAGGAGCAACCAGGACTAGAACCTGGGGTGCCGGTGCCGCAGGCGGAGGATTAGCCAAGTGAGCCACGGCGCTGGCCTTGATTTAGTATTTTGAAAAGCAGAACATGTGTAATGTTGGATTTGGTTCAGATTATATTTGTATATTTATGATAGTGCTTTGTACTTGTAAAGATGCTCAAGAAACAATATAGAGAATTGTGTTTTGGAGGGAGGAACTTTACTGTGGCGAGGATGATTATTACTGCACTTGCTGGTGCTGTAATGTTGCAATCTGTGGTTCCCAGTCTTTTCTTGTGCCAGTAGACAACCAAGCAGAGCCTGTGTGTTTATTTTCAGGGGCAGCAGGGAAGTGGGGAGGCTGTTGTTCACTCCACAGCCAGTCTTGGGGTAACAGTGTAGGTGGTGGTGGCTCAGAAGAGAAGCAGCAGGCTGGATAGCTGGCTCCTGGGAGAGGAAGGGTCACAGTGCCCGGGGGAGCTGGCCCAGGGCGGATAAGTGGGCCTGCTTTAAAAGAGCCCTGAGGGCCACTTCTGTTGTTGTTGTTGTTTTGTTTGTTTGTTTTTTGCCACTACACCTTAGCTCTGGTAGATCCAGATTTTAGGGGTGGAAGCATTACTTTAGGAGGACTTAGAGAAGTGTGGTCATTTGGCTTGAAACTGAATAGGCTGCAGGCAGTTCACCAGCAGTTTAAGGGCCACTGTGTTCCTGAAAGCAAATGTCCAGTGCTACCACCCTTTAGGGACCCCTCAGTGTCTGCCTTCCTCTCCTATCTCTCGGTTTTGGCCCTCAGAACCCTCATTTCTCTGGTATCTGTTATTTTCCCACCACTGTTCCTGAAATCCTCGCTGGGTAGAACCATGGGAGAGGACAGTGTTAAAACTGTCCAGTGCAGATATTCATTGCACTGCAAGCTGTTTTCCTAATAATGCTAGAAAAACAGGATTGAAAGACTGTGGAACACTTTGGAGAAACACGCATGTCAGCGGTTGGAAGAAGTAATTCTGCATAGCTGACCTGTTAAGTAGCAGGTAGAGTAATTTCAAGGACATGTTTGACCGGTATCAAAGGAGGGACTTGGCCCAAGGGCAGCATGCCGCTTGCTGCTGACTTGTTTGTGTGACCCACAGACCAGAATGGAATCCCTTGGGTCATACCGATCCTTGAACTGATAGTGTTTCAGGTGCTGAATACCAGGACAAGCCTCAGATATCCTAAATGTTTGAAGCTTTTTCCTTTTTAAACCTCTAGAGAAGATTGTCTCCATGTGCTTCCTGAAGTCTTTACTGAAAATACCGTTTTTTTCTGTAAAGAATGTCTAGTTAAAATGTTTTTGTTTTTTAAAAAGATTATTTATTTGAAAGGCAGAAATATACAGAGAGGAGAGGGAAAGAGGGAGAAAGAGGTCTTCTATCCTCTGGTTTATTCCCCAAATGGCTGCAATGGCAGGGGCTAGGCCAGGCCGAAGACAAGAACCAGGAGCTTCTTCCTGGTCTCCCATGCAGGTGCAGGGGCCCAAGTACTTGGGCCATCTTCTGCTTTCCCAGGCCATAGCAGAGAGTTTATTGGGAAGTAGAGCAGCCGGGACTCAAACTGGTGTCCATATGGGATACAGCACTGCAAGCAGAAGCTTTTCTACACTATAGCTCTGGCCCCAAAAATGCTTTTCATCCTAACAGAAGAGTTGCCTTTGGCTAGATTTTGGTAGGTCATGTCTCCCTGCAGAATAAAGTTGCATTCATTGCTTGAATGTCAGAAGAAAATGGGAATAGATGTAGCTTCATTTACTCAAGTAACAAATTATAGTCTTTAAGTTATGCCATGTCTGTGATTAAATTCCAGTTTTGTACTCACTGGCCTTAGATAAAATCTGATTAATTTTTTTAAATTATAGGATCTAAATAACAGTAAGGTTATTTAGTATGTGAAAGTTTCTACATTGTACTTTTGTGAGAAGTAATGATAAATGTCGAACTTGCATGGAAAATGTTAAAAAGAATAAAATGCTGGGGCCGGTACTGTGGGTGCTGGTTTGAGTCACAGCTGCTCCATTTCTGATCTAGCTCCTTGCTAATCTGCCTTGGATAGTAGTGGAGGATGGTCCAAGTACTTCGGTCTCTGCACCCTCATGGGAGACCTGGAAGAAGCTCCTAGTTCCTGGCTTTCGAATGGCCCGGTTTAGCCATTGTGGCCATCTGGGGAGTGAACCAGTGGATGGAATCTCAATCTCAATATATCTCTCTCTTTCTTTCTCTCTCTCTAATTCTGCCTTTTAAAGAATAAAATGTTACAGTGAAAATTTAACTGTCAGAGGTGCTGGGCAGTCTCCTCCTTTATATCTTGAAGTTCTTGTTCCAGCAATAAGTGTCCCCAGTGTAAATGTAAGAAACCTTAAGAAATGAAGACCCACTGGCCATCAACAGAGAAAGTGAAATATTTCTCTAGTCTCTGTGAGGGTACTAATTAGATGTGTGATGATTGAGACTGATATCTAACTGTTACATCTTCTAGGAACAGAAAATTATTGCTGAATTCAGATAGCAGATATTTAGAAGTAAAAATGATAGAGCTATTTGTTTCTTGTGGTTTTAAAAGATTATTTTATTGGAAATCAGAATTACAAGAGGTAAGGAGGGAGGGACAGAGAGAGAGAGAGAGAAAGAGAAAATTTCTACCATCTGGTTCACTCCCCAAATGGCCACAACAGCCATTTATGGGCCAAGCCGAAGCTAGGAGCCAGGAACTTCTTCCAGGTCTCCTACGTGAGTGCAGGGGCCCAAGCTGGACCGTGTTCCACTGCTTTCTCAGGCATATTAGTAGGGAGCTGGACTGGAACTGAGACTTGAACTGGTGCCCATATGGGATACTGGCACTGCAGACGGCGGCTTAACCTGCTGCGCCACAGCGCTGGCCCCTTGTTTTCATTTTGAACTGTGGTATGCATGGTCTGCATGAGAGTCTGTAAAGTAATACCCAGTCCACAGTAGACTCTCTCTTTTAACTCGACTCTTTGGCCAGGCAGAGTTAGAGAGACAGAGAGAAAGGTCTTCCTTCCATTGGTTAACCCCTTAAATGGCCGCTACGGCTGGCGCTGCACCGATCCGCAGCCAGGAGCCAGGTGCTTCCTTTTGGTCTCCCATGCAGGTGCAGGGCCCAAGCACTTGGGCCAATTCTCCACTGCCTTCCTGGCCCACAGCAGAGAGCTGGACTGGAAGAGGAACAACCGGGACTGGAACCCGGTGTGCTGACGGCGCAGGCGGAGGATTAGCCTAGTGAGCTGCAGTACTGGCCACAGCAGACTTTCAAGTGTGATAGGTCACGTTGTGTTTTCTCAGAGTTTATTGTGCAGCTGTGCTGGGTTTTGCTCCGGTGGTATTTGAGAGAGCTGTGGAAAGGAATTTACGTGGTAGTCGGGGCAGCCTGGGCTTGTATCTGATTTCGGCACCTCACCATTCTGCATGTCTGCTGAGCATCTTCTGTTACACATAGGCTGAGCTGGATGCTGCAGACAGTGCTGAGCAACATAGCTGGGTTTCTGTTTCTTCTGCAAAAGCTCTCATTTTGTTGTCCAATCAGAAACCCTTTGAACTACATCAAGTTCTGTATGTGAGGTGGTATTCGTCCATTTTTCTCGAACTTGTCCCTGAA